AAGAGCGTTTCCCAGGCTGGCAGCATCGTGCTGAGAAGACCCGTCGGCAAAGCCTCACTGAGCAGCACACACTGCTCTCCTGAACGGGTGTACCAGCCAAATACACCAGAAAAGTTCAAAACCAAGAAAAAACAAACACGTCAGAAGAGTGAACTTAAGCCTAGGTATGTGCGTATTCCTGCTACACATCTGACACCCAAAACTACATAAAAATAACAACAGAGAGATAAATAATAAATAACAGCAGCATTTTATAATGCTGGAAGTTTAAATGTCACAGAAAAAAGGGAAGGATCAGCCTGTTCAAGGCAGATCTTCTTATGCGTGAAGAAATTATACTGAATAAATCAAAGCCGAGAAACAAATTATTGTTGTGCCCTGCAATAGGCTGACCTTGCCTGCCGCAAGGAACACCCCCGGGTGCCGGGCGGTGCCCTCGCCTGCCCTGACGCCCGGGAGCGGAGGCACCAGCCCGAGCATCCCCCGGCACCCACCAGGGCTGCCCGGCTCCGGCTTGCGGCATACCGACGTGCCTTCCCTTGGGATATGTCCTCAGCCCCGCCTGGAGCTTGGGGCTGTGGGGCCACCCTGTGTTATATTCCAGTTGATGTTCTGACACTGTCAGACTAAATGGGAGACAAAAGCATCCATTCTCCCCCACAGGGGTACTGCAGCTTCTCACCCAAATCTGACTCCCGTCACTGTGGGGAAACCGGACCAGCGCCTTGTGCCTGTGGCCGCCAGTGCACTGGCAAGCTGTGCCTGCTCAGTCTTGCTCAACAATGGGCTGGAAGAGTGTTTGAAATGAATTATCTCAGGTCAAAGCGACCTGCAAAACAGATCAGAGGTTCCCCCCTTAGCATTATAGAAAGTCTTATTCTTACTTGTATTTTTAATCTTTGAAATAAAATATGATAAAAAAATTCTTAGTGTCTTGTTTGCTGTCAGTTTTTGTTGAAGAACAAAAGGAAGCTTAAAGGAAATTATCTCAAGCCATTTTAAAAAGTAAAATATTTTTAAACTGAGATTTCCTTTCAGTGACTTTTCAAGCCTTTTAGGTAAAAAAAAATTAGATTTTTTTAAATGGTCAACAAATCCTTCCCCCTCTCAGCAAGTCAGCTTCTGCACTCTCAGTACCTGCAATGTCATAATCCTGGCGGACATACAGGGATAGATAAGGTTTCTAAAGTAAAAGACAAAGTAAACAAAAATTTCTAAAGTAAACAAGGATTTTCAAGATTGTTCTGTATATCACAAAAGGGCACAGATAGTTTCTTCTCTCTGTTCATTTTGCTTTTAAGAAAACTCACGAACCATACAACACTGGTCAACATATCCTTTCGAAATCTGAATGTTTTTCTACAGCAGAGCATTGCAAGAGAAGCAGAACGGCTGTAAGAGCTGCTGTCCCCTCCGGGATGGTGCGGCAACCACAGCATGCTTTCACTGTCACCGTGACCTTTGGGAAAGCATATTCCATGCCCTTGACTCCACTGGGCTGCCAAGTTCACAGATCGGTCACTTTTTTCCATGAGACTGAATTTAACTCTTAATGAAAAATCTCTCGTTTTACTTTTCAGGTGTTTTGCAAGTATTTCAGACTCTTGTTACTAACACGCATAACAGCAACGCAACCCAGGTCTTCATTCAAGAGACATTTCTAAGGCCCACATGTATTCTCCTCCAGCTGGTGCTGCTTTCCTTTCTCAACGCCTTTAAGCTAAGATCACTTTCCTTGTCTCTATGTGCATTAATTGCAGAATGACAGTTCCTCAGAGCACTTTTCTGTAAGGTTTAGCCATTTCAATACCAGTCATTGAGGAAAGTCCTGGCTGAAGCTGAGATGAGGGTTATGAAGGCTTTCGCGGGCATCCCCCCAGCTCCAGCATCTTCACATCCCTTACAGCACATGTATGAGCCGACTCGGGCAGGCTCTCCTCCTCCTCCCTCCAAAGATGGCTTAATGAGATCTCACTTTTTCCTAACATAAAAAACTTCTTAACCCTTTAAATGATTAAACAAAGTACAATTTCTCTTTTGCCCAGCCTAACTGTCCCCTTTAAGGCACATCTTCCCTTGCTAGATTCACAGCTGTAACCCCTTTCCTATTATCTGTCCTTTCTGTATGAGCAAATGCTCCATCCAAGCCCTTCACTTTATCCACCTCATCATGAGGAGACATGGAAAACAGACACACACTCGCCCCTTCTCCTGCCCACCCCTCTCAACCAGCTCCTCCTGCCGATCCAATGTGGCTGAAATACTAGAAATCAATGAACAAGCTTGGACAGGTTCGCGCTGGCGCTCAGGACATCGCTTGACACATTGCAAAATATCTACAAAAAGTATAGTACACTAGTTTGTTAAGAGTTGTCCAAATGTGACGGTATCTTTAGACGCTCACGCAATATTCCACTGTTCAAGACACTAACCGGAACAAACATACACACTTCTACATGTCGAACTTGCATTTAGTCCCACTGGAACAGAGGGGACCACTTACAAGTACAAAACGAAGCATGTGCCCAAGTATTTGGTGCTTCAGAGCCACCACCCACAAGCCCTGTGAGGCAGAGCTGGATGCTGCAGGTACAACAGAGATCTTGTCCTACCTCGGGGCAGCCGGGACTTCCGTAACTTATTACTGATAAGCGACACGCGTCATCCCCACAGCAGGGAAGAGAAACAAGAAAGTCACCGAGCTTGACACAAAACTGCACAGAGGTTCTGATGCTGCTAGTCAAATCCTGTGACGCAGAGGAGCCAAGAGCCCGACCCTGTTCATGCAAGGGAGGCAGCACTCACCAGCCTCAGCAGCTGGACACTTCCGGATGGTGAAGATCTGTCCCAGGTCTTCCTCTTCTTCAGGGAGACCTTTCTGGAGGCGCTGCAGCTTACGTAGGCTTTCACTCCGCTGGTGTTTCATGGAGCGCACGTGCTGGATAAGGTTCAGCTTGGCCTTGGTGGAGTAGTTACAGAGGACACAGTGATAATAGCAGCTTTCACCCTCAACCCCGCTCTCGTGATGCTGAAGGTGCTGTGAAGAACAAAGTAGAGAGATATGAATTTCCTGTATCATCTCCAGTCTCCCTGGGTTAGTCCACCGTAAATTGCTAAAAGCCGCCTGGGAATTAAGTAAGAAACCACATTTTGACAAAGACACAGTAAGATCAAGCCTGTTTATTCTCAAGGCACCATGCACTCTCCTGCTTAGAAGCAAGAAAAAAATACACACTGAAGCGAGCACAGAAGCAAAAATTGAGATAGGCAAGATCATCTCCTTCAGTGAAAGAAAATACCAGATCTGACATTAACAACTATTCATGACCTATGCATAGCTAATTCTTTCATATTTAAAGCTTATCCTGGGAGGGGATCCAACTTCATGCCAAACAGATAAAATAAAATTTGATAAATTCTCATTGAAAACTAGGAAGAATAAAACCAAAGCAATCCTAGAACACAATGAACCCATTAGATGGAGAGGTCCTGGAAACAGCGTATGGAAGCGGAGCACAGAGCGTGTGCAATCCTATCCATCATCCAGCGCTCTGTTCCCTGGCATCTAAGTTTTACTGCCTCGGATCTGGAAGAAAGCAGCAGCCTGGCCTAGAAGACGGCTGTAACAGCGATCCAGACTGAAAAGCCAATGGTGAGCATGCAGCAAGAGGTTAGCACTTGGAAAAAAAATCTTGTCACCCTCTGAAGCTGTGCTATCGCAGCCAATATAGCTAATTCGAGAGTATTATACCTTGATTATTTGACAAAATCTATCAATCGTCTGGCACAGAGTACATGCCACTAGGGAAACGAATAGCTATTTTATGTCATGGATCCCAAGGATGCAGCAATTAGTTCTTAAAACCAGAGAGAAGAATTTGCTGCTTACAGCTATGTCAGCTGCCACAGCAGAGCCGTTCTCTGTTCAGTTTGGGCAGCGGCAGGGCTGAGAGTTCACAGTAACCTTCCCAATTCCCACAGTAAGGGCTTATCACAGGTTGAGGAAAAACAGATACCAAAGTCAAATGACACGAAAGACTCCTCAGTGAAGGCCATTTGGTGTTTCCACCACCCACCTACATTTCAGCTAAGCAATAATCCGTGCCAGCGCCTACCATCCAACCTCAAGACCTCTTTTTGTCTTCTGGGTCATCTCATGAAACTCCTTCCTTGCCACGCACTTCACCCAAGGCACATAAGTAAGGTGATTTGGACGTGATCTCAAGGTTTGTCAATCAAAAATATTGCCTACGTGCAGCCAGGACCTTCTGGTAAAAATTCTGACGTGTATTATCTCAGTTACAGCTAAGATAAGATTAAAGACACATATTACCCAGCGCTGTGTGCTTAGCTAACACGGAAGGAGAGCCCTCTGAGTCTAGGAATGATTAAAAATAGAATAGGAGCTGATGCTGAGGCTTCTGATTGGAAGGGTGAGGGAAGAGAATAAATGTATTCTAGATCTGGCTAATTAGACTAGCCTCTTTTGGGATCACGATGTATTTAATTAAATTCACTGTAATATTTGAAGAATCCACTAGGGCACTAATCCCACTGGTGCCCTCAAAAGATTTTTTGCTGTTTTCCCTCGTAAGAACTTCTTCTTCTCATTTCTATTGTTTGCATTCATTACCCTCTTCCTGAGCCAGAAAAAGAGAAATGGCTTAAGACATAAAAAGCTAAGGTTAGCAAGCCAGTCGCAAGAGCCACGCGACCGGCTTGCATGGCCTGGCTTAACCAGCCTTGCTCTGCCCTGTTTAGATGCGACCTCTGCAATAAGATCTCCCTGCTGCCCCATCTCGCTGCAGGCTGGGGGTCTTGCGCCAGGAGATGCCCAGCAAGCCCCTTCTCCTGTCAGTCGAGAGGCGTGTCGGGGAAGCCCCTGTCCTACAAACACCGCGTTCAAGCTCAGAAAGTGCCAACGGGCTCAGTATCAGCTTCTGCGAGAAGGCAGAGGAAACCTCTAGTGAGCAATTAGAGAAAAATCTGGTCACCAGTTCAAGGAAATACTAAGGACATGGTATCTGTGGGAACCAGAGGCACAGTCTGTACTGCTCTCATTTAAAAGGGGATTTTGGGAAAACATTTGTTTTAAACAGTTCAATAAATGTGTCTTATTTTCTGCTCTTCTTTTGCTCCCACTCCATGCATGTTCAAATATCCCTTGTGCTTGGGCCAGCTTCACCTGCCTGTCGTGCTAGAGGAGTCAAGACCTGAGGGTGCCAACACCACCAAGTCCACCCCGGACACAGCGCGACATCGCATGCCTACCTCTGATTCACATCAGTCTTCCAACGGAGGAAAGGAGCAGGCCAGAATAAGACAACATGACGGACGAGCAAGTAACTAGCTGTAAGTTGCTGGAAGTGATGAAATGCCGGACAAGTGTAGTTATTGTCCATCATACTGTTAAGTTTTCCCCTTGTGAAAATTTATCCGTATCACAGAAAACAAATTCACGATATTAAAGCAGAACCTTGTTTGAAGACAAATCAACTTGAAAATCAAAGGAATATATTGTTCCCAGGAAAACCCACCGACTTCTGTCAGAGAACATTGATTTCTGCTAGTCTGGGGGGGGGTGTTTGCTCCCTCCCTCTCAACAATAGGAAACTTCCAACATCTGGTTCTTCACGCATGGCATGCAAAGTATTGATCAGGTTTAGTCAAAGCTCCACTTTAAATCAGAAACAGACAGAGGAACACTCTGATGGAAACCATACGGCTCACGAGTACAGCTTCCCAGGGGGACGCAGGCTGTTCCTGTACATACACTAACCGCAGCACAACACTGCGCTGCTCACAACACCTATTCCTACACACAAATCAAACCAAATCCAGCCCATCTTTCATTCAGGAAGTGCTCGGGTCTCTGGACAAAGCTGTGCTCTTGCTCCGTGGCGCAGTGATTAGCGCAGGAAGATCCTGCTCAGAGACCTCATCTCCATTTGCCATAACACCTGCACAGCCTGCGCCTGACCTTCACCACAGACCTTCCCTGTGGAACATCAGTCCCTCACCGGCTACAAACACTCCAGGTTTGGTAATTTTGTCTCAACATCAAGAGCTATCCACTGCAGCTCTGCCCTCCAAGCCCCAGGCACAGCCACACCGGAGTGGGACGGTGAACAAACCTCCTGGGCGGGGGAACAACCATCGGGGAGAGCTGCTGCCACGCAGACAGCCCAGCCCCATGGAGGATGCACCACCAGCCACCACCCCACCAGCTGCCGGCAGCAGCCAGAGACTCTCCTTTAGCTTCTGAATAAGGAAAACGTTATTTTGGGGTGACTCCGTACCAAACCGCACTCGCCAGGCAGCCATGCTCACGCCAGCAGTCAGGATGGATTCAGCCCTGCCCCACAGGTCTGCCCAATGAGCGTTTTGCGTTGGTTTAGGGAGTATTGCGTATTGACCTCCCCCTTCCTCTGGGTTTGGCTAGAAGAAGTTGGCACTTTGGGAGGGTCTGAACACAAAGACAGTTTAAATAAGCAAGAGAAAAACTGTAACTTGTGCTTACACACACCGCAGAGCGCTGGGGGCCAGCAGACAGCAATCAATTCCTTTGGGGCGCACACTGCGCACAGCCCCTGGCCCCCCAAACAGGAGAGGAGGGAGAGGGAGGTGACTGCACACAGGCAGCGTTGACGCCAGAACTGCCCACAGCCCGTCAGCGCAGCCATTAGCAAGCGCAGGAGAAAGGCAGGAGTAGGGGGTACAGAGGGTGCGGGCGCAGACCGGCAAGGGCTGGAGAGGTGCCTGTGCGAGCACAAGCGAGCATGCGTGCGCTGGGATGAGCTGACCCATGCTGGACTGACTTTCCAGCCCTCGCTCTCTTAACATCTGGCTTAGAATTGTTTTTGTCTAATAAATAATAGCATAATAAATGTTCACAGTGTATGACTATGGAAATCTAATTTTTAAACAAAGGAATGACAGTTTCTCTTCAGTTTTTCTTTCCACCTCCATCCTTCACATTCCCTGAACTTTGTTTATTTTACCATCTATCTTTTCCCCATCTAACACTGCCTCACCCACAGTATTTTTCAATAATCATGGAATTTAGACAGTTTCTCGTATTAATCTGTCTGACTGCAGGCAGTCCTCCTCACCCCCCCATGCCATGTACTCAGACTACGTTCTTCGGAGATGAGACTGTTGTAATCAGGACTGAGGATCCATGTTGCTACTATTACACAAGTAATGAATACCTGCTGAATACCTTTGCAGGTGTATAACTAACATTACTGTAGTTAATGTTCACCATTTAATCTGATTTCTAAAAACTTCTGTATGTCTTTTAAATTTTAAAAGATGTTAAATCTGTACCTGCTGAAAACCTCTTCTGTATTAAGTTTATTACAGCCACCATGTAAAAAGCCCAATTCCTACTGTAACATGAACAGATAATCCTCCCTATAGCGCTCTGTTGCCAGAAGGCACAATGTTATTTTCCAAACCCTATTTGCTATGTTTAGTGGGTCAGACACTGTTCTGGGGGACATCTGAACTGTAACCCTAGCTCACTAGGGAGACACAATAACCACTTTGAACTATCTCGTGCTTTTGACGTTTATTGTTCATCAGAAAAAAGGCCCAACTTCTATGCAATCTTAACTTCATCTTGTACAAAGCTTCCCCTTTGGAAGGCCCTAAAAGCTGCTCAGGATGAACCCACACTGACGCCAGTGGGAGTCTCGCACGCCTTTGGTCTGCAAGCCGTAAGACCAACCATCTCTGCAAGTGGTGAGATCCCATCTCCATCCTCAGGAAGTCTCGATGGTACAAAAAGCAGTAGAACATTTGAGAAAACTCTACAGGCTCGAGGATGGCCCCCCGTTCTTCAGACCTCAAAATGACAAGAAGCAGTAGAAAGAAACTCCATAACTGCCCCCAACGACAAACAGCCTGTGCTCTCCTGCTCCCCTCTCTGCTGTGCAAGGATTTCCTCCACATATCAAGGTGTCTGTAGGTAGGAAAAGCAGGTGGAGTAACAGGCCTGGGGGCCAAAACCCAAAGTAGGAAAATAATCTCATG